ATAATTCAGTAACTCCCCCCCCTCCCCATAACCTAAATTTCAGGATTTTTCCCAAGGGGGGCGTTGAAAAATTTTCCGCTCCTTAGGGGGGGGCGGCAGCTTCAAAAAGGTTGAGAATCACTGCTGTCTAGGATTCGGTTGCGTAATAGGAAAATGAACAGAACACGCACCGTGCTGGATCAGATCAAAGTTCGGTGTGGCTCAGCAGACTTTTCGCACAGTAACCGGACAGATGCATATGGGAAATGTGCAAGCAGGATACGAAGCCAATAATCGGTGAAGGGACCTGAGGGTCCTGAGCTCAGCTCCTGTGGATCGGTGGGAGACTTGGCAACAACATAAAAATAATTTGCTTTTGCCTTTTTATTTGCTGGGTTTTTAACTTCCCAGTCTAGCTTTTAGCCCTAAGGTTTCCTAGTGGTCTCATGTCCAAGTAATTAGGTCCAACTTTGCTTACCTTTTTAAAACTCAACCAAGCTATAGACATGTTGGTTTTTTAAACTAGGTTTTCAATGTGTAAAGGCCAATTGGATCTCATCTGATATTTATCTTGTGATTTTGGCAATTACAGCTTTTAGTACATACACTGAAAACCCAACATTTACAAATGTTTAAATAGTTTAAACAGATTTGTGGTGGTCTTGAAGTTTCTCCCCCCAACCCTGTCCCGAATATTTAATATCCAGTAACTGGAAGCTGGTAGCAGTGATTGACATGGATATGTGTGTTGTCATTTGATACATTACCGCTTTGTAATGATAGCACTGCAATGTGGTGTGGCAGTTACGGTATTATAGTAGGACCAGGAGATGCTGATTGCAGCCCACCCTCAGCCATGGAAGTTCCCTGGGTGACTGGGCCAGTCAGCCCAGCCTACCTCACAGGGTTTTGTGCGGGAAAATCAGAGAAGACAGTGCTGTGTAGTTGGAGGAGAAACAAGATGCAAAACTAACAAATACGTTACCAAAGCCCTTCAGATAATGTGGTGTCTTAAAGCACAGACGCAAATGAACAAGGATTAGTTTACTGATTGGCTCCCCGTGAGAAATTAACGAGGGCGGCCTGTTTCTACTGCAGCCAATGACTGCAATTTGTATGGCAGAAGGCATAGTTCAGTGTTTCTCAGTCTCAGCAACTTTACGGGGTGTGGACGTCCACTCCCAGAACTCCCCAGCCTTTAACCACAATGGAGCAATTTTCCTTCTATTCTAGGCAAGCGCTATTATTATTATTATTATTATTATTTTTTGCCAACAGCTCAGAGTATAAACTGAATTTAGATTAGTTTAAGCCGCTTTATCTCTCATTCCTCTGTAGAGAACATGAGAGAGCTGCAACTGCACTTTCTTAATGCCGCTGTTAGCGAAGGACGATTATTACTGTAGTGTTTGTACTGGGACAGACTTGCACATCGGTGCTGCAAAGATAAATTCTTCTTCTTCTTCTTTTTTTTTTGCAGAGATAAGATGTGGTTGTTAATCATCACAGTGAGTTTGGTCCAAGGCCTCGTAACGTCAGGGGCACTTGAGAGGAGAAGAAGAAGTTTAGATCCAGAAACAGCCATGAATGTGGTAAGTTGTTACTGTTACCACTTTTATTTAAAACCTTTTCAGTAGTAGGTGCTGCATGTTAATTCTGTGCCCAATCTTCCTGAAGTTGGGTCTTCATTGAAAATTAGGATTGCAGAGGATGCGAAAGCTTTATTTAAAAACCTGACACTCTGTTTTTTCTGCAAGTTTGCCCCAATCAGGAGCAGTTTATAACAAGTAAAAGCAAAACAGTACAATAAAATGCAGAGTTTGTAAAGGGCATTAACCTTAATATCACTCCTGGTTCTGCCAAGTTCTCGTGAAATACATATCCCAAAGGGGAAACATTCCTGATTTTTCACTCTGAGCCCAAAGTAAATGTAATACTTTGAAATAGCTTATTAAAGCCTTGGAGTCTGATAGATGGGTAGATTTTCTCCATTTTGTGTAAAGAGTAGACTTCTGATTCCTGATTTTAATTCGTAGAGATATATGCTGCCTTTCTACACCAGCAAGTATCAAGGTGACTAACTTAAAAGAAAATTAAAATGACAGAAACTATAAAGTGAAAAACAGAATCTAAAATGGCTACTAAGATTAATAAAAGCCTGGCGTAAAAGGTGCAGCTTTACAGGTTTCCCAAATGCTGAGTGAGCAAGGCCCGATGCCAGAGAGCAGGGATCCACCTGTCAGAAAGAGGACTGTTCATACATCTTCAAAAGGGCCACTCCTACAGATCTTAACAGTTGGATAGCTTCATAACAGGTGTAGTGGTGGTTTATATAATCGGGCCCTGAGCTGTTTGGGGCAATATCTTAAACTGTGCTTGTAAGCACTTGGCAGCCAGCCCAGATCTTTCAATATAGACATTTTTGGTAGAGTAGCTGCCACGTTTTGCACCAATTGTTACTTCTGGATGCTTTTCAAGGGTAGCCCATGTTACAGTAATCCAGACAATGTGATTGGATGTAGATGTGGCTACCTGTTGTATCTGCGTTGTCTAGTAGGTACATAGAATGGCATTTGGGCACCACCTTTCTGCAGTTGTTAAACCATTTGTTAAACAACTCTGAAGGTTAAAGCGTGTTGATAGTTACTCAAGGTACTGATCAGATACAGAGCTGAATTGCTTCAGCTTTATTGCTTTATTTTGGTTCAACGCTCATCAGATAGTTTGCAATGGATAGCTGATTTGCACATGAATGGGACTTTTTAACGTTTACCATAAAAAATACCTAGTTTGTGATTTGTTTTCATCCTTTGGTACATAGAATTTGCTGTTTTATATGACTTGTTCTTAGATAAGAGAAATAAAATGTCTAGACCAGCCTTTTCCAACCTCTCTAGATGTTTTGAGACAGCAAATTCTCCAAAATGTCTAGCTAGCATTGCCAGAAGATGGGAATTCTAGGAGTAGCAGTCCAAAACATTTGGAGAGCACTAAGTGGGGAAAGGCTGGCCTAGGCACTTCAGAATAATTTAGTAATGTACAACACCATCTTTGATTTGCTTCTCTTTTAGAGTGAAATTATTGTATACAGAGGATATCCCAGTGAGGAATATGAGGTCATGACAGATGATGGGTACATCCTATATATTAACAGAATTCCTCATGGGAAAATAAGTCAGAAAACCAAGGGTGAGTGTATGTTTGTAAACAGATAATAGAGTATTATAAAAGTATATAAATCACTTATAAATATTATAAATGTGTGTACTTTTTAAAATGATTGTTTCTTGCTTTGGAGAGAGCAAAAAAATATATCTTTGCTGTAGGTAAAAGGGGGGAAGATAAAGGAAAGATTTGTCTATTTAGCAACTTTAGGCTTCCAGTATATCCTATAGGAAAAATTATTGGTCCAAAACTTACTTTGCCACCCTATGGATTGAGGTTCCCCCTAAGATCTGAACAGCTCCCACCCTGCTGGTGGTTTGAAGGGGCCTGAAGACCTGGCTCTTCACCCAGGCCTTTGGTGGGGATGGCTGAAGCCTCTTTTTAACTTAGGTTTTTTTTGTTGTTGTTGTTCCCATCCAGTTTGTTATTCTGCTATCTCAACCATTTTCTGTTCTTGTCATTTTTATTGTCATCTTTTCATGTTTTAAATTATTTGTAGACCACCCAGAGTTGCTGGGAGTCGGGTGGCATATAAATTTAATAAATAATAATAAACATAATATGTTCATACAATTATTTATTTGTTTGATTTAAGGCATAGACTGGTTCATTCAATAAATAATTCTTTAACCATGGCTTAAAGGAACATGGGAACCTAATCACAAATTCATGAGTTCTTCTGAGAGAGTCTCTTTAAAGAGATTATATTCACATTCAGTCTGTTATGCATTGAGTTCCATTGTCATTCAAAGAAAGCTTTGGAATGAACTTTCTTGCCTTTGGGGAGGATACCATTGTCCTGCTTGTAACTATGTGTAAAATGCTTCCCTTTCAGAACCGAAACCAGTTGTGTTTCTGCAGCATGGTTTGCTTGCTGATAGCAGTGTCTGGGTGACCAACCTAGACTACAACAGCCTGGGTTTTGTGCTAGCTGATGCTGGTTATGACGTTTGGTTAGGGAACAGCAGAGGAAACACTTGGTCCAGAAAACACGTCAACTATACCACGAAGCAACAAGAATTCTGGATATTCAGGTAGACACATTTGCTAAACATTGGGCATTTCTTGGGTATACACCTCTACTTAGCCCTTTCTTTATGTGCCATGTGCCTGCTTTTTATAGTTTTATTAATGAAAATGTGTGTGTGTGCATCTATATCTATATATCAGCATATGTATGTATGTGTACAGAGTTCACTGGAGTTGGGCAGCCAATAAATTTAAATAAATAATGATAATGATAATAATATAGCCTATGGTAAGTTTAAAATGATTTTTAAAAGCTTTTTTCCTTTTGTAAAAAAGTCAATGGGGAAGCCGGCAGGGAAGATTGCAAGTGGAAGAGATGGAGGGGAGCTGAAATCTTTCTGCGGTCTGAAGATTTGAGCTCTGTTTCTCAGCCACATGAAGGATTTCCCCTCAGTGCATGGAGGGGAAGGGAAACCCATCAGCGGTCTGCTGAAGCGGAGCTTAAATCATGAAGATTTGTGATGGACTGTATCTGCGGGGGGGGGGGATGATATGGTGGATTGCAGTGGAGAGCCAGGTTCTCAGGAAGGGAAGGGGGGAGACGGGGCAGAACAGTCCAGAGCAGGGCCTGGGAAGAGGGAGAGACTTAGGGTAGCCACTCCCTAGGATCTCCCAGGGTA